CACCTTAGGAAACAGACACATTCTTGTTTTCTAGATTGTATTTTTTGTTTATTTCACAGGTTACATTACCAGCTGGTAGATCTACAGGACTAAGTTTTGACCAAACTGATAATAAGTTTGAGTTGAGACCAGTTGTGGACACAAACATCTTTATTCTGAGAATAAAGAAAGAATTAACATCATCAGCATGCAAATGTGTAAGAGAATATACATTTTAAAGAATGTTTAGAGAAAAAATCCAACATTACTGTATAGAATTATACAGACTACAAACTCTTCTGAATACGTACCATAGTCAACACAATAAAAAAAAACATGGGCATCAAAACTCTTGAAACAAGAAAAGCAATATGTATATTAGTTGGCAAGCTATTATCTTATATTTCATTCTGTTTTTATTTTTGTCAGATATATTTTAATATACACATACAATTGCCCATAATTTATAGAATTAAGGAGATATTGTATGATTGCCAATGCAACAACTATGCATCAGAGACAAAATGATGTTTATATAGAAAAATTCCCTCATGAAGAAAACTTCATCTTTGTGGGATGAATTTATATTCCGTAATCATATATTGTTTTGGTTAAGATAATTAAAGATGTGGTTTATTTTTACCGAGACAATATAGGTCACTAAACTTTATACATTCCATTGTATTGCCCTAGACTGTCGGAACATGTTTTTTTAACCATGTGCAGAAGCAGCAATCGTTAATTTTGTTTTCTAGGTTAAATTTAAAAAAAATCAAAATGTGAAAAGTCAGATGTCATATATCATATTGTTTTAACGGTTTTCGTTATTTTGAGAATTACTTATATATCTTGGTTGATTTGTCATATCTTTTATAGAATTTAGAAGTATAATGCTTGTCATACTCTAAAGACACCTATCTGTTGTTGAATACTGTTTTTAATTGTTTGCTTGATGTCTTTTGGTAATTTTTGTCGTTAGGGTGCTATCATTTTTACTTATACTCCACATTTTTTTTTGTTTTACATCTTTAAGATTTTTCTTTTTCCCCCATTTTAGGACAGTAACGTTCAACCAGATTTTAGAGAGTGTAATAACAATTGTGACTGCATCTGCTATAAACCTATAGTATACAATGTTTGTACGAACGTGTACACCACAACTATAGCGTACGTATAAAAACTATGCTTACTACAATATGATTATACTATATCTTTGGATAAGCTGATATGATCATAGTTTAAATACTACAAAATGACTTCTATATAACAGATTGAGCTGGGTAGATTTACACTATCGGGCTTTATACCCCTTTTAAATTCGGATAAAATTGGAGATCATATATTTGAATGTATCTAGATTAAGTTGAAACTTAGTTATGTGCATGAAACAAATAGAAGTTTAGCATTAATTTTGCTTTAGTGCAAGTGATAAATATAAAATCTACTGTTGAGAGTCATTCAAATGCTTTTCTTTCATTTTTAAGTTCAATATCAAACGTTATAATCTAGTATGGATGTAAATAAGAAGATGTGGTATGAGGGTCAATGATACAACAATCCATCCAAGTCATAATGTATAAAAAGTTCACAATTATACGTCAAAGTACGGCCTTCAACACGGAGCCTTGGCTCACACCGAATAGCAAGCTATAAAGGGCCCCAAAACGACTAGTGTAAAACAATTCAAACAGGAAAACCATTCTAAATAAAAAACGAGTAACGAGAAACACTTATGAACCACACCAATTAACATGATAAACGACAACCACTGAACCTGACCGAAGTAATCTTTGATGTAAAATGTTACTACAATGTATATATGATTTATTAACACTTAATAAAAACCAATGTTCTATTATCTTAGAGACTCCAGTTTGCCTTGCAGTGCTCGACTACTAGATAAATCCGGAATAAGTATAAATGAAAATCTGACAGGACTTCAATCGTGCTTTGATCCAAAATGTAATGAGAAAACGACTAAAAAGTAAGAAATATTTAACATTATAATTAGGCATTATGTTTGAATCAGATTTTCATTCACATATTGTTTGTTATCATTGCCGCTTTTCGTCTATTAACTTCAAAATAAATATCCTTAAATTTATTGAATTTTGATTCAAGTCCAATATCAAATACTTCATATGCATTACAATAGGTTTTTATCTGCAAAAAAGTCTATCGTGATAATAGCGGGGATTTGTTCTGCCACTACAAAAGATAATGTAGGTGGTGTTGTAAGTAATTTTGTCTTACCCCTTTCTTCACTTTTTGGTTCTCCTTTGGTATCTTTTGCATCTTTAGCCTCTTATGTTTGAAAGTTAATTTAAGAACTTTGCAATATGCTTTTTCTTTTTTCCTTTCAAAAGGTCCGTTTCACAATTAGTACAAACCAGTAAACCTTAGCCAAATAAAACACAATTAAGAATCGCGAACACCATATGAAAACATATGCAAGCATAACAACTATCAAATATCTTGTTACATTTTGAATGTAAATTTTAGGCAAACGCCTAGGGCACTAATTTTGTACATTTTTTCTTTTTTTCAACATATCATTTTACTTGCTTTATATTTGCTATTTATGGGGTTTTTCAAATGAATCACCCTTTGAAAAATAACCTCATCATAGATACAAGGATTAACATTTTGTATGCCAGACACGTCTTTTGTCTACAAAAGACTCATTTGTAACGCTCGAAGAAAAACATTTCTAAGGCCATATAACATGTATAAAGTACGCAAGTTGAAGAGCATTGAGGACCCACAATTTCTAATTATTTTGAAAAATACAGCTAGGGTTATCTAAAAAAAAACAAATTTTGTAAACATTTAATGTTTATATACCATTTCAATAAATATCCATGTCAACACAAGGTGCTGACTAATGGATGGTGATGAAAAACTCATCATAGATACCACGACTAACAGTTTGTACGCCACATGCGGGTTTCGTCTAATTGAGATTTGCAAACCGATATTTCATTTGTTGATTGATTAATTGATTGATGATTGCTTTACGCGGCATCAGCACATACAGGCTATATCGTGACGGTCATTTGTTGACGTAGTGACTATCAGAACAGAGAGTATAATCTGTAAGCAAAGCGTGTACACTTGATCTGTTTTTGCAATTACATTGTTTCGTAATAAACATAAACGCATCCGTGTTTAAACTAAGGCAATAGTGGTTTACCGATTTCGAGAAGAATAGCCAAGGTAACATACAATAATTTAGGGGAAAGCATGAACTTCAGTAAAATGGCATAGTTTTGTTTTTTTTAAATTATTTATATGATAGAATTGAAATCAAGTGTTTATACGTTCATGTATGAAAGTTGTAATCCACTCAAATACAAAAATGACAAATAAAGGCAAAGAATATATTATATGATATTGCCTAAATTGGAAAGTATAAATGCCGGATATAAACCGAACACACATGACAGGGTAAATCCGAACAGACAAAAAAACGGGAATATGTGCAATTAAAATATCAGCATACGTTAAGTATTGTGGGTTTTTTTTCTCTCTCAGAGATTGCTACAGTGAGTTCCAATGTAGTTGGTGTGAGTTTACATTTAAAGGAGAAATTATTCCAGAACCTTGTTGTAGAATTAAGGGGGAGTGCTCTTTTGGAAAGACTAAAGACTCAAACTCTAACATTTGTGATGGTATGTTTAAATTATATTGTGAAAATTATTTTGTTTTATTTTGAAAAGTTAAATCCAGGATAATAATAAGAAATATTTAGGAAATACGTTATGTACATTCTGCTTCGTTAACAATGTAGATTGAAAAACGATATTTTATGGGGTCTCACATGATGTAAAATCAGAATAATTTAAGGTCGTTGTTCAATCAATATCTATATAACAGCTATATACCTTTATTATGGCCTGTCAGTTATATTATAAGACACAACCCGAATATAATCAACATTAATATATGAGACCAGAATTAAAATAGAGCAAAGCAAAACCGGTTTGACTTTTGGATCGGTAATTCACAATAGCAGGAGGAGATATCTTGAGCCTTCCTTATTAGATAGTAATCACGGTAAGCATAATTATACTGACTTGGCATTATCATACTAGCTTGTTTTTGTTAATCTTTATTGTAAACGTTGTAAATCAAAAACTTGGGAAAATCAAACATGTATGAATTAGCAACAGTATAATCGAAAGAGCCCTAAAATTTGTCACAGTACAATGTATGGAAATCTGTATTGTACGTAGCTGTGCGTTTACACTGGTCAGGATTTATTACACTGTAATACATCATGACACTGGTCAGGATTTATTACACTGTAAAATATCATGACACTGGTCAGCATTTATTACACAGTAATACCTCATTACGCTGGTCAAGATTTACTACACAGTAATACATCATGACACTGGTCAGGATTTATTACAATGTAATACATCATGACACGTGTAGATGTTGATTGATTGATTTTTTCTCAGTTTCCAGTGAAATGTATGTCGGGCATATTCAGAACGAGAACAAATTGAAAGTTAATCCAATGAGAACGTTCTTTACAGTTGGTCGACCAGGATGAAAAACAAACAATAAGCACTGACAAAAAGTCGGACTTAATTCAGTTTGTGAGTAGTTTCGCAAATAATGTACACTCCTTCAAACTAACCTATATCATTAAAACATTTATAAGTGTGTACTTACAATGGCAAGTTACAAATACTAAGTATATGAAAATTATATCTGCAATACGAAGTTACAAACATCCGTATTATTTTCTTATGTCCATCATTGACCCAAATTAATCAAAGCTACATATATTAAATGCGAAACAATTTTAGTGGTGTTTTCTTCTGCGCAATTGTGCATATATTCTTACCGTGTAATTATGTAAATGCACTTTTGACATTGACCTATTTACGCTAATATATATTTCCTAAAAGAAATATAAGAAAATGTATATGTACACACCTCTTTAAAATTATTATTGTTTCCTTTATCAATGGCATTTTGTACGTCATTCTAATAATATCTTTCAATAGCCTCACATACAGAAACCCTACCGGAAGTAGCCGAAGGACAAAGTACCGGTGCAGTAGTCGGAGGAGCAATTGGTGGACTTTTTGCTGTAGTTCTCATAGTTGGCGGGGTCATTTTTCTTTTGAGATATTTACACATAAAAGATAATTGTGATAAAGAAGACCCGTACTTATATGCTATACCTGACCATCTTGACTTGCAGAGTGCACAAAATTACGGGTTTGAATCTAGTGGGCAGTGTAATCCGCCACCCGCAACCAGTAACTTGTCTTCCGGAAGTGTTTCAAATGGAGTAAGGCATAGTTACATGTCAGTAGTAAGTGATGAATCTAGGTACGATAAACCTACTGAATAACGTAATATACTGAAGTAAAAATGGGAAATAAAAGATCAGAAGGTTTAATGGTGGATTCTACAGGCCTTGTTACAGAATTTATGTTACTCTGCTCAGGATAACTTACATGCATCAGTCGTTTGAGATAACACTTGTGAAATTTTCAGACATCAAAGATATCAAAAGTTTAACAAACCTAAGCAAAGCATAAATTTGTACGTGCACGGTATACTTTTGATAGTGCTTATTTTTTTCTATATTTTTAAAATACAGATCTTGAAACAATCACACAGACTGAATAGAAACACCCACAAATTTTGCATCAGGTACATGAAATGGATGTTGTGCAATATGTCAATTCAGAGGAAAACATTGTATCATATTTATATGAATCCTTATATCATACGTGTTATATACATTTGAAAAATAACCTTTTTGTTATAATCATTTTTTCAATTATTAAATTGTATCTTTTGAGATTACTTATAATTACAGAATAGTAATATATATATATATATGTTGTAAAGGTACTTTTTTCATCAGTTTAAGTGTGTTCCATACATATATGTCTATTAGTATGTAAAACGTGAGTAAATATGACATTTATACCACATTTTATGATAATCATTTGTTCATCATCTGTTAAATATTTGTTTTTATCATTATCGATTGTGATAAATGTTGTTACAGGAAGTATGATTCCCAATGAGACAACATCTCCATTAAGGTGGTAAAAAAACACCTTGACTAAAATTAATTTGACTCGTTTAATTTTCATAATATGTTGACAAAATATTTACTTTGACCCTTTGACAAAAATATAAAAATTTCAAAAAACTTGAACCACACACTTAATCGGAAAAATTTCATTGGATATATAGCAGTTTGACAAACACTAATCTTGATCATCGAGAAGCTTAATATTTCCTTAACAATAGAACGTGATTAAAACGTTCAGCTGATTTTTACAGTTATCTCCCTGTAGTGTTATGTACCACCTTAAGTAAAACACGAGGATGTAAACAACTTTATGCCAATGTACAGCCTTCAATAATGACAAACAAATACTATATGGAAGCTTTGAAATTCGCCTATATAGCAATTAGCAAAACGATAAACAATTGTAAAGTAAAAACGTATTGTCTGTTTAAGGTAATATTAATAAACGAAAAGCAATTATTGCAGACGAAAACTAACTTAGATCCATTCGAAATGTATCACATAAAGCGGAAAATCTGTAGGAATAGCACTGTAATCATCCAGAGTGAGAACTAGTGCCTGGACAGGGGTAAGCGTCTGTTTCTATTATGTGCGATTTTAGACTCGTGACGGTCACGATAGGCTACGTTTGTATGGATGTTTTCAAGTTATGGCACTCAAAAGAAGTATATGTTAATTAATATAGTCAATATGATTCGCTTTAAGGATGTTCGCTCCACTATTTCAAAATAACTAGCTTTTTAAATGACTGTTATGAATTGATAGTATATAGATAACGGATCTTAAAAACCAGAAAAAAAACGTCCATGTCCTTGTTTTTGAGATATAATCAATTGAAAATTTTGCGGAAAATGATTCTCTCTAGATTTTTAATACATTTAACATAGGAACCCTTTTTCTTTCAAAAACTATGAAATATTACCAATGATTTCATAAGATTACTATATGTAATAAAATTAGGGGGAAAAAAGTAGGGGTAAGCAGGCAAAATTTGTATTGGCACTACATGGATGAAACAAAAATGGCAAAAACAAGAGTAGCAAGCATCCTTAAATAGGTTTATTTTTTTTTATTTTTATTTATTGTTTTTATGATATATGTTTCACAGACGGAATTGTAATTTAATATTTTTATACTTTTTAAAGTCTTTTATAACGCAGTTTATGAAGGTGTTTGTTCAATTTGTTTGCTCGATATTGTTTATTATTCCGAATCTGTGTCTTTCAGCGCTCAGTGTTGAAGGGCTCAATATGACTTCAATCTTTTTTTTTTTTTTTTTTTTTTTTTTATTAATTGCGTATATGAGGGTATGGATGGGGGTCCTTCATTTCTGTATTCTTAATTTTTTTAGGCCATTTTTTCTATTCTTTATAATTTTTGCTCAATATTCTCTATTCTTTTATATTTTGGCACCCCACTGTTCTCTATTTTGTATGTTTTTGGTCCATTTTTTTCTATTCCTTATATATTTAGCCCATTATTCTCTATTCTGTAAACCCCCCATCCAGACCCTCGTATATTGATTTCATGTCATGCAATACTGCATCATATCTTTATTTTTCAAATGTGCTATTTTTGTATTCACTTTTATGTATGTGAATTCTTATGTTGTTTTCAGGTTAAAGACAATAAACCATAGTGTTTTTGATATTTCTACAGGTTCAGTATTTGCCAAAGTGTAAATTTTAGCAAAAATAAAGATTATTCTTATCACATTGACAGATCATTTGAAAATAAGATGATTTTGTGTTCAGCAGCAAATATTACATATCTATTTATGATGATGACACCTTAATGTGATACAAGAATGAGACAATAATCTGTTGTGTATCATGTGTATTAAACCAGCACACTGAGTTTAATCATTAACACATCGCCCTTTCCAAAATTCTTTAAATCTTTATTCAATGCTATGTTTTAAGCAAAATTCCACAATGAATTCTGTTATATTTTGTAATTTTTTTTTTAAAGTTTGATTGTTATAAATAAAATTACAGGAAGTTTCATTCCCAATGAGGCAACATACCCATTACGCAAAGAAAGATGATTTAAACAACTGCATGCCAATGCACGACCTTCTATAATGAGCAAAAATATACTGTATGGAAGTTTTAAAGTGGCCCTAATTAAAGAACAGCATTAGTGGAACAATTAAAAGAGGAAAACGTCAAGTCTGTTTTAAGTAATATAAAAAAAAACGAAAAGCATAAATTGCAGACTAAAGCTATCCAAACCATTCGACATATAACAGCTAAGAAAAAACTTAGTAGAATCGCGTTTACTTTATATATGGAGCATGGTCGAACTGGTGTCTGGACATGGTAAGCGTCTTTTTTATGAATACATCATCCCGTCGTGCGATTTAAGGATGTTCGCTCCTCTTGTTTTTGAATTTTTGCCAGATTTTCGGAATCCTCTGGTTTTATCGATGTTTTGCCATTAACAAAAATTTGTCCACTAACCCCTACTTTTCTTTTCATAATTGTATTACATATAGTTTTAAAAGCCATATTTGAAAATCTTATAAAATCCTTGTTATTTTTTCATAGTTTTTAAAAGAGAAGAAAAGCGGACAATGTTAAAAGTATGAAAACTCTAGAGAGAATCATTTCCCGCCAAATTTTCAATGGCTTATATCTCGAAAACAAGCACACGGACCCTTCATTTTTTTCTGCTTTTTTAGTTCCTTTATTTATATACTATCATTTTATAACAGTCTTTTAAAATGCTTTTTATTTTGAAAGAGAGTAGCGAACATCCTTAAAACTCAGTGGCGGTGACCATAGGGTTTGTTAAATTGCATGGATGTATATTCATGAAATAGCATTCGTTAAAAAGCATCATTTAAATTATTTTGGTCAATATGATTCGCATCAAATAGGTTCATTTCACAGAATTAACTGTAACTTAATATTTTCATACTTTTTAAAGTCTTTATGACAGTGTTTGTTAAATTTATTTGCCCGATATTGTTCCGAACTTGTTGATATTATGTCGCATCTGTGTCCTTCAGTGCTCAATGTTGAAGGGCTAATATAAAAGTAAGAAGATGTGGTATGATGGCCCCAGGGACAACTCTCTACAAGAGACCAAATGACACAGATATTAACAACTATATGTCACCGTACGGCCTTCAACAATGAGTAAAACCTATGCCGCATAGTCAGCTATAAAAGGCCCCGAAATGACAAATATAAAACAATTCAAACAATACAATTAACGGCCTGATTTATGTACAAAATAATGAATGAAAAACAAAAATGACAAACAGCAACAAACGGCCACCACTAAATTACAGGCTCATGACTTGCGACAGGCACATACAGAATGTGGCGGGGTTAAACTAGTATGAAGGCGCGCCAACCCCCCTCCCTAACCTGGGACAGTGGTGTGATAGTACAACATAAGAACAAACTATAAAAATCAGTTGAAAAGGCTTAACTCATCAGATCGACACAAAGCAGAAACACGTCTTACATAAACACAAAATGGACGTGGCAGGGTATTTATACATCCCCAAAACAAAAAGACACTACGTACAGATCTTAGAGTACTCGCAGTTACTGACAGCTAGTTCAAAGCCAATAACAATTAATAAAACAAATCATGCATCTAAGACTAAAGTATGAATTCTAGCTGTTTTTTTGGGTTTTTTTGTTTTTGTTTGTTAATTGCGTATATTAATTTCATGTCATGAATTACTACATCATATTTTTTCAATTGTGCCATTTTTGTATTTGCCTTTTATGCATGTAGAATCTGAAATTGTTTTCATATTAAAGAGAATTAACCATAGCTGATTTTGACATTTCTACGTGTTTAATGTTTTACAAATTGTATATTTTAGCTTAAATACTTCGGGCTGAAATCTTTTAATTCCACACAATCGAAATATAGTTTTACAATTACATTACATTTCCATACCAACTCTTCAGGCCAACATCTAGATGATTTAATTATATATCTTCAAATGCCAATTGTTGCTGAGCACTTATCCTACCTTTATATCAAGTATACTAACGTACTCACAGACAAAGCTCCACAAAATATAGTTTGTGCTTCTAAATCACATTGTATTAACTACTTAAAAAATGACAATTCAATTTTAAACCCAACATAAATTATACTCTCACGAAACTTGTAAAATAGGAAATTCTGAACAATTATAGATCGGTTTAATTAATGTTCCATTGGAATTTCAACCAATGATGAAGAACTGGATCTTCTATCTCTCTACTTGATAACCAAATTACATAATTGTCCTTACTAACAACGTTACAGTGCTTGGTCTGTTAAATGCTCCACGAAACCTCCTTTTCAGTTCGCAGTTTCAGAATCAAATGCATTCTAGGTAATATTTTTAAAAGCGTACACCAAAACGCCTTGATTGTCTAACAACGTCCCAACAAGACCACTTTCGAGTTCATCCTTCACCGGAAAAAACTCGTCAATTATGCGCGCCTTTATGACGTCATTTACCAGATGGAGGGGATCGCCTGTATCCCTGTACTATTAACGTTCATCAACCGTCTTAGTGATCGTCATTGTGCAGGATAAACTAGAAATAACGTTTGTTTTGTAAGTACTTAATCACAATTCCCTAATGACAGCAGTGCTGATTGTCAATTATGAGAATTTAATTTGCCGAATAATTTGTGCAATATAGCATTATAGTTTTCCAACCACTCGCTCAACATTGGAACGGAAGTGACGATGCCCCTAAACGCACGAATGATGTTCACTAAGACCAGAGTTTTTGACGGAAATGAATCGAACTCGAAAGTTGTCTTATTGAAATTCACCCAATGACGTGACGTTGTTTTCTTTTTGGGACACGAACAATGAAATTACCCATAGTCCTTTAGACTCTGATACGACGAATTACTAGTATCTATCTTATCAGCAATCAAAACTAGGGCTGCATAACTACTGTGAATCTACCTACTCTAGGGTGGTGTGAATGAGATGTGGGTTCTAAAACAAATCATAAGATCTATTAGAGTACATACAATGAAAGTCCGTCTCTTTGTGCAAATGATAGGCGAACGATACCAAAGGAGTATTCAAACTCATAAGTTGAAAAGAAACTGACACTACCATGGCAAAAACGAAAATGACCAAAAGAATATCAACAATATACAAAACACGACACTATGTAGTATAAATCATTTGACTTCTCTACTCTTTACATTCTTACTTCTCAACTTAAAGACAGATAAGCATTGGTGAAACTTTGTTTTATTAACAGAATGGCGGACGCAGGTACAAATATCTTGTTTTAGAAAGGAACAAATCATACTTTGCCAAAAACACACTCTTGATTCCAAAAGAAAGAAAACGGACATCATCACAATGTTGGATTTTTTTATTGACAACATTTTTTTAAATTTAGAGGACATGTGTTTTTTTTTAACAAAAAATCGGCTTTTCTTTGGATACTAACTTTGTCCCTCTGCTTTCTGATTTGTTCCTTTAATGTTATGAGGCAAATATCATGCATATGATTCTTTAAAAAAACACCTGAAAAAGCTAGCTTTATCCTTTAATTTACTTTCCTCTATATAAATACTAAAGGTCATCGTACGGCCTTCAACAAGCATAGCCCATAAAGCATAGTCAGTTATAAAAGGCCCCGAAATAACAAATAGCTATTTTTAAAGATAAAGAAAAATGGCCCCAAAATTTTAAGAATACAGAAATGATGGACCTCCATCTATATCATTATATATCGTTGACATCCAAATAATCTTTTAGGTTTGATTGTATATGAGGGTCTGGATGGGGTCCTTCATTTCTGTATTCTTTAATATTTTGGATCATTTTTGTCTATTCTTCATCTATTTCTCCCATTATTCCTAATTCTTTATATTTTAACGATCGCATTTACGGGATGTAGTACTTTTGTGATGGGACAACAAACAGACTATGGAATACCCAAATGGCAATTAATTCCTTTTACTTCCCCTGTCCCCCATCAACTTCTCTGAATTTATGTTTTGATCATTTGCTATGCATTTTCTTTAAATTGATAGGGAAATTTTATTATCATTGGTATTACATTTTGTTTTTTTTTTGTTTAATTTACTAGTCTAAGAGGGTCTGGATTGGGGTCCTTCATTTCTCTATTCTTTATTTTTTAATGTAATTTTTCTCTATTCTTTGTACTTTTTGCCCATTATTCTCTATTCTTTATATTTTAGCATCTTATTATTCTCAATTCTTTAACTTTTTGGTCCATTTTTCTCTATTCTTTATATTTTTTGCCCATTATTCTCTATTCTGTAAATTCCAATCCACACCCTCGTCTAAGGAGGCCGAGTCAGACAGTGCAATAACAACTTATGAGATGGTAGTTGGAACACTGGTCTAAGCTCCTCCAAATCTTTGTCCTAAGACAAGCGGTCAACGGTGGGATTGGATACTGCAATAACTAACAAAATCATTCAGTTAATATGCTCTTCTAAAAAAATATCAAAAGTTATTGCATTCGAAGATCAAAAGGATAAATTACCATCCATGTTACAAATATGATTTATTGTCAAGAAGAAATCAATTACATGTACAAGGCGCAGATGTTACAACATGTAAAAAGATGAAAGGTTGAATAACATATGCTGCAAAATACTTTCCGATAAATATTTAATTATAATGTATGTGTAATATTAATATTTGATGTTAACCGTGTATGTTTATAGCAGAAAATAAACCGTAACTCGACACTTTTTAATTTTAAGGATAACATATATATGAACAGATGAAAACACATATATGTCGTAAATATAATAGAACTTTTTTGTTTATATGGATAATATGTGTATATTTACTTATGACATTGTATGGATATTCACTCTGGTCAGCTTTTCCAGGACGTATGACAAATATAAAACTGAAACGTATATTTCAAGACATCAAACTCAATAAAACGTCTATTTATACTGAAAATAAACATCGAGTAAGTAATTGTTCAAATCAAGTTTATTTAGCAGCTGTTATTTTAGTAAGACTTTATAAAGAAGACAAAGCCAAATTGACAAGACTTGAATTAAAACAATGGATAGAGTACATGCTGTATGCTGGAGTTCGGTGTATATATTTATACGATCATTTCATGTTTTTAAACGAATCTTTAGAACAATGGTGTAATGAAAAGTTTCCTAATATTGTAGTTTATCATGAGTGGAAAGCACAGATTCCATATTCTATAACAGGGACCCAAGTGACGGCATACAAAAATGCGCTACTTTCATATGGAAACATTTCAGAGTGGCAAATTGCATTTGATATGGACGAATATCCGTTTATGCCAGGCGACAAAAGAAGAGGATTCCTTATTCGGTTTCTCGTGAAAATTGCTACAGTACATCCCAGTATAAGTGAACTGTCTCTTAAAAACTTCCTGTTTTTAGGAAAACCAAGAAAAGAAACTCACATTTTAAAGAGATACTTGCGCCGGACTACGAATCCTGCAAATACTTTAGATAAACCTATATATCGCACGAAAAATATTCAAAGTGTTCAAATACACCACAACAAATTGCGAAAAGGAATATCTAGAGATGCAAATCCTATAGAAATAAGAATGAATCACTATTGGGGGGCGAGATTACAAAACTGGGGAGACGACACCCCAGATATACTAAAAAAAACGATATTTGACGATTCAATTGTAGAGATAGCCGAACAGCTTAAGTGAACCTAAAACTAAATTTAATTTCGAAAAACACTCATATTTTTTTTAAAAGTCAGTCCGTCTAATGAATTGCAGTGCATTTCATCGGCTTACTTTAGTTCAATTCTATTTTTACATGACTTTTTAAATATGTGTATTCAAGTATAACTTTTAATCTATTTACTGGCCTAAAGCAGGTGTATGCACCAGTCACTATTGACCACGAAAACTTCTTTTTAATACGTACCAAATGTTTTTCTTCATACTATACATTGCCTGTCCTCAGTCAGGAATCTTGTCATTCATATCATAATACTTGCCGCTATCTGAAGAATTGGGTATTGACGGGAGATTTTTCAGTATGTCGGATTACTAGTAAATTATACATGTATACACAATTTAGAAATTCTTTAATCTTGAATGCATGTTCCTTTTATACTGTCTGACGATTTTATTTACAAATAAAAACGTCAGATTTTATACTGTTAAACTTTGCCGTAATATTGTACTATAAACATGATAAAGGAAAAAAATAATGTTTTGAAATTATAATTGTATTTCACAGCTTTAACGCTTAAAAATTGATATCATTCTTTGACATAATAGTTTGTGAATTTGTAGAAATATGTAAATGAGAGTGTCGACATGCGCATTTGGTGCTGTTAGGGGACGACAATTTGATTACTTTTTTTTTGCAGGAGTGTTTTTTTTTGTAGCAGCAGTTGTATACATAATCATCTCCTGCAGTTCGTGGGACAGAACATTTCTGTTTATCTTGTTTTAAGTAATTCTATGTAGGTCCAAATATTCGTTTTGAAAAATGTTAATGTTATTCATAAAGTTTCTGCATGCATTGTATGTTTAATTTATTTACAACGTTCATCAAAACAAAAACAGTTGTACAATGTATAATAGTCATCAACGAGACAAAAACAGTTACATTAATGTTTTTAACAAAACAACTACATTGAATTTCAACAAATCAAAAACAGTTACATTAATGTTTTTAACAAAACAACTACATTGAATTTCAACAAATCAAAAACAGTTACATTAATGTTTTTAATAAAACAATTACATTGAATTCCAACAAATAAAAAACAGTTACATTAATGTTTTTACCAAA